AAAAAATTGGGCGGTAACAAATCCTGGGTGTTTAAAGTTTTGACCAAGAAAAAAAAAAAATGTCGTTCAAAGTGAATGCGGTATTACACCGATACGCGATTTGTGCTACTATTTATAAAGAAAATGTTGATGTACAAAAAAAAAAAAAAAAAAAAGAATTAAGAAGGTTTTATTGTAAAATTGTCTGATTGACTTGTTTGTATTTATTTTATTTTTTTTTAAATGCACTTGAATATGTAATGTAATCAACTTTTAAAGATTGGTGATGTTCACTCGGTTGCGAAAATAAACTGTTCATGTCAGGGGCCAACCGTGGGGCTGCATTTATTAATTTATTAAAAAAAAAAAAAAAAAAAATTTAATTTCCAATCATCTACTTTTCAATTGAGTCAAACATTCAACTTTAGTTTCCACGTGCAACCAAGTTCACTCAACTTCTATAAACGAACCTTCTTTATATACCCACTACAATTAGTTACACTTTGTTACACATCATAAATATGATAATACTCTAAATTGGAATACAGGAAATTAAACTCGTAATTTGCAATAGATGATGAGATGAATCACCGACAAGACAATAAAAAGTCCATACAAATGCGCATGCCTTTACATATATCAACTGAACATTTTTTATAGCGCCTTTTTTTTTTCTTTATTTTTTTTTGATCAAAAACAATAACTTGTTTAGATACAAGTTTTTAATTTTTCTTTATTTCTTTTTTCTTTCTTGTTGCATTGAATATAACCTTTAAATGCAAAGCTGGATACAAAGATGTGCATATGAAATCCCGGGCAAAAAAAAAAAAATTATCATACATCATGTATTCCAAATTTTATTATCTAATTTCGTAAAGTATGCGTTTGAAAAACGCTACGCACAATAACAATAATCTTGTCTTTGCGTTACATTTGATTATATTTCCGATTATATAACCTTAACCTTTTTTTTTAAAAAAAAAATGCCGTTCGTCCATCCCTTTTGCCAGAAATTCCGATGAAAAAAAAAAAAAAGACAAAGTAAATTGCACAATACATTTATTATTGTTATTATTTATTTTTTTTTTTTTTAAAAAAAAATAAAAAAAAGTCTCACGAACCTTAAAAAGGGCGAAATGAAAAACCCGATTGCAATCCGGAATGAAATCAATACAGTTTTTTTTTTGTTTATAATAAGGACAAAAGTAGAATCATATTGTGACGAAATTTATATTACGATTTTCATAACATACATTAAATTTCTGAAATCAGAAATGTTGTATAAACTTGCTTGCATGAAATATTTATATGCAAGTGGTAGATCGACAAAAAAAAATTTTTTTGTTGGTTGATTTACTGCATAATGTTTACCTCAATACAACATGATTTAAATTAATCAATCACAATATAAAAAAAATTGGTACATTAGCCATTAATGAAACTCGACTTCATTTCCAAATTGTTTGGGGACAGTATTGTTTTTTTTTTTGGACAAAGGAAATATTTTGTTTTTAAAATTAATTGACACACACAGAGGTATTTTTTTATTGAAAAGAAATGAAGTAATGTGTGCGACCAGCAAAACCCACTTTTTGTTGTTTTGTAACCATAATCGAAATCCTTAATTTTTTTTGGTCCATCGTGTAATCATTTCATGTAATCTCATGCTAATAACCTTCTCCACTTAATGATTTCCTATTGTAGGTAGTTTTTATTAAAGATGTAAATAAAAGTAAAATTTTAATATAATAACATCTCGTGTTTCGAAAATGATTTGCCCAAATAAAGTTATTAAATTATCGTGTAGCTTTGCATATTTATTCTGTTGTTTGGGTGTTGGTATTTTTTTTTTTTTATATTTAATAACCTTGCAGGTTAAACAACACCGTATTTGATGGAAATGAAGGAATTTCAATTCGATTATTATTTACCTTTTAATTATTTATTTTTTAATTTTATTACCATACATTGGAAAAATGGGAATGGTAAACAAATAATGTAATTGGTTTTATTTAAAACCAAAGATAATACATTATTAATTCGAATTTTCAAGGATGATAATATTATGTATTTTTATTTTCTTTTTGTGTAAACTGGAACTGGTGTAAATATTTGGGGACTCTGTGTTTCATGTTTATTATTTGTGTTCATTGTGTCAATGTTTTTTTTTTTTTTTTGTTTTGATGGATTTAACTTCCAAGAAAAGAAATTGGCGGAATTTAGCGGATTTTTTTTTTGTTTGATTTCCGCCCAACGTCAATTATTATTTGTAACCCTTTACTCGATAGATCGATTTACTTGAACCCATTCTCTTTTTCGTTAAAAGGGTTTTTGTATAAATAGTACATAAACGAACTTTTGAAAAAAAAAAAAAAAAAAAAGAAATAAAGTAAAAAATATATATTTTTTTATTTTTTTTTGCCACCCAGATTTCATCTATTTCATGTGAAAATTTTAATAATAAATGCATGAAATAACATTTACCACATCGTCAACCTAAAATTTTTAATATGAAACACAAAAATTACCATTTAATTTTATTTATATTAAAAAAAAAAAAAAAAAACATCAAAAATGTGTGCCAAGCACAACATCAATAAAAGAAAGAACCAAAAGTTATAATTAAATAATAATGATCTGAAGCATTTTATCATCTTCAAAATAATAATTATTACATGGCACGAGGTTATTTATTTACATGTGATGTTTATACTTGGTGTCATTTAAACTTGTTTTGTGTCCATCTTTGGTGGTCGTTGTCCGAGTGTTCCATCTTACACAAAACACCCAAATTTGATCCTATTGAGAAAGTTCGAATCTTGGAAGTATTTTGACATTTTATAAATTAATTAAATTAAAAAATAATTATGAGAATCTAATTCTAATTAATAAAATGGTAACAATGGATAAAAAAAAAAAAAATTTTGCGCCATATTATGATGTAATTATGTAGTTCATGGACTCTCAATTGGTTTCAAAAAAGAAAAAAAAAAATATAAAATAAAATATTCACAATTGTCTTAAAAAAAAAACCCTTTCTCGTGTCACAAGGAGATATGATGAATTTCGCAGCATGAGCCAAATGCAGATAACGTAATCAAAACCTTTGTATGTAAGAATTCCCTCTTTAGGATAAATTGAGATGTGAACGTTATTCCCTAGTAACAATAACATGATCCACTCCGTACTTATACTTTTTTTTTTTTGTAAGAAATCCTGTTACAGATTATGTGTGGGGAGAAGGGGATATTTTTTTTTTTTTGAGTATGTACAAAGTACATTAAATTAATATTTATTACATCTTTATTTGTATTTTTTTTTTTTTTTCAAAAAAAAAAAATTGCATGTATTGTGTGTGTTCCGATTTATTTTTATCAAAGATGATGAAAAAAAAATGTGGGGTGAAATTAAAAATGAAGTCCAAAACAGCTTTAATTAAAAATTACGTAAGGAAATTGAACCAATTTACGTTTTTTTTATTTTATTTTATTTTTTTTTTTTTTTGGCGGAAAAATATCCTGCGAGTTTTAAAGGAGGGGGGGATGAATTTCCAATCAATTCTCATTAATTTTCATCATTCCTGCGATATGACAAAAAGAGAATGAGAAAAAAAAAAAAAAAAACTCGTTTGAAATCATGAATGGAGTGAAAATCAGGGGTAAAAAAAAATGGCAAAAACATTTCCTGAACATGCATAAACGAGTTTTTATTTGTTCACAAATAAACATTAAACAGGTAACATGAGCCGGAACCGAATCAGGTAACATCATTTATTCTTGATATCATATTTGACAAATATCAAGGTTGGATTCTTGTTTCCAATAAAAAAAAATGATTGTTTAATAAATGAAGAAATTGGTTTAAAAGTGATTTACATGTAAATAATTAATTAAATAATAATAATTGGGTAACCATATTTATCACAGAATCTCCATATGGATAAAGGTTCAAGGACTCTTCTAAGGGTATTTCAACATCTTGATGAAAAAAAAAAAAAAAAAGAGATGGTGCGTTTGAAAAAAAGAAATGAATTCTTTTCCATCGAGAGAAAAATTGATTGTACATAGAAAGGAAAAGAAAAAAAAAAAAAAAAAACAGGTACCAATTCATTTTGTTCATCATTCCCTCATCCATTTCATTATTTGATGTGTTTTGATCAGCGGACTTTGATTTGTTTTTTCAGATGATTTTTAATTTTTTTTTTTTTTTTCCTTTTTCCTTATAGAAGATAATAGTGGTAGTTTTTAAAGGAATCATCTTGTTTATTCGTTTTGGACTTTCCAATTGAAAAGGGGGTTTATCCATTGACGATGAAACAGATCACATAATTTCGGGCTATTTTTTTTTTTTCGGTGGATTTACAGTATGAGATATAATGGGTGGTTTGTTGTTGAGAACCACGAGGTGATGATTTTTAACAAAATGAATCTCAGAGCACACGTCAAACAAAGTTGGTAATGATGAAATCATTTATGTTTTTTTTTTTATTTTTTTAAGTTTTTAAACTATAACAAAATAAAAATCAAGTTATATGGCAGATCCCAACGGTTTAGCGTGTCACACATATGTAGCTTAATCAAGTAAATAATCAAGAATCAATTTGGTGCGCTAACTTTAATATTTATTTATTTATTCAATGTTAAATTAAAATGTCACCATTAGTTAATGTTTCACGCGCTATTATTTCCAACATTTGATCTAACTTGCTTGGAAACAAAAAAAAAAAAAAAATTGATGGAATCGACGATGAATTGACCAATTTTGGAGACAAAGTACCAAAATAAAATGAAATTAAATTAAATAGAGAATGGGTGTCACAACATGTGACCACATAGTTTGCATGCAAATAATGCCCGGTGATTGATATATGTAGGAGAAAAAAAAATACGTTCTTTTGAAGTGCGGGTAAAGGTTGAAAATCAGAAAGGGATCGGCGGAATGCCCCTTTCTCCCCCTCTTTTAATGATTTATTATACACACACCCTCTTGTAAGAAATCAAAAAAAAAAAAAAAGGAATTCCATGTCAAATGAAAGGAATTACAATGCGACAAGGGGCTGGATGTCGACGGATCCATCTTCAACCTCTTTAAAAAGTGAAAAGGGAGAAAATCCCAAATGGCTGAACGGAACGAATTGGGCAAGTCTGATTTCACGGTCGGGAATAACCCCACATGCCTCAAAAGTTTGAAAGACGAAGGGAAGCATGGCGCAGTGAAACCAGATCTCAGGTCACACAGGGAAATCCATCGAAAATATGCGGGGCAAAGTGGGCAAAATTGCCAAATTGGTGGATAGATTGTTTTCCATAACCACACCATGAGCGAACTAGCTTGTTTTGAATGGTCACACTCGTGATATCACATTATATATTTAGTAAATAAAAAAAATCACAAGAATTTTGAACTTTTTAAAGCATATAAACGGACGTGATGATTTTAGGAAACACAACACAACAACAGATGTTTAGAGTTCATCCTTCAGGTTTTTTTTTGACGCCTTCTCTTAATTTTCAATGAACCACAAAGTATTACAGTTCTGTGCAGGAGAGAAAAAAAATAAGTTTATTATTTACTTCAAAATATTTGTAACACTTTATGTATGATTGTTTTTTTTATTGTTTGAATTTCTCTTCAAAAAAAAAAAAAAATTTTTTTTTTTTTTCTCTCGAGAAAAAAAAAATAAATAAATAAATAAATAAATTATGATTCATGAAGCTAAAGTCCATAATGAGAAATCGATGTGAACACAGACTATTTTATGATGAAGTTTCACAAACATATACTGTTAAGTTAATTATAGTACAATTACATTTCCATTACACAATCTTGTTGTTTACATACTGTGAATTTTTTTTTCCTTTGTATGTGGCGGCATTATGCGGGGCCTTTCAACGCTTGCATGAGTGTCCTTTGCATACCTCTGCATTTGTATTTTTTTTTCCTGACATTTAAGATGAGTTTATTTATATTACAAATGACAATCTATCTCCAACCTTTAGAACATACTTTAACTTATTTTCTTGTGTTTCCAAAAGATAACCCATATATACACCTTGCTATACAATTGTGACTTTTACCACACCATCATATTTTACTTGTTTTCACATCAAATAAAAATTATTATATATTACGGTTACAATAAAACACAATTTATGTTATTTGTGAAAATTTTTTTTTTTTTATATTAGATATTTTATTTATCAAACAACAACAAACAAAAATATGTATATATTTTTCAAAAGTACTTTAAATTATTTTATACACAATTATACACACGTTTAATTTTTTTTTTTTTATTATTATTATTATATTTTTTTTATATTGGGATCTAATAATCTGACTTGATACTCTATCCTGTTGTAAATTTTTTTTAAAGAAAAAAAATTTTTTTTTTTTTTTAAAATAAAAATAATCGTTCAATTTTTTCTTCGTGTGTTATTATTATTATTTTTATTATTATTATTATTATTATTACATTATCACTTCTCTCTTTTTTTTTTTTTTTTTTTTTTTTTTTTTTTTTTTTTTTTTTTTTTTTTTTTTTTTTTTTTTTTTTTTTTCTTTTATTTTTTTTCATTTTTAATAAATTTTTTTTTTAAAAAAAAAAAAAAAACAAACTG